AAATAAATAAATAAATAAATAAATAAATAAATTTTAAAAATAAAAAAAAAAGAAATGTCCTCCTCCAAACCTGTATATATATACTCATAGGTGTACGCCCATATGCCATCCCACACCTTTTCAGCTTATGTATCTACACGTTCCCATCAGATTGGTTGGTTGTTGGTTGGTATGTGCTGTCGAGTCAGACCCGACTCATAGCGACCCCTCCTTGCGTTTCCGAGGCAGTATCACTATGGAATTAGATTGCCCCATCTTCCTTCCGAGGAGTGGCTGGTGCGTTTGAACCGCCAGCTTTCTGGTTAGCAGTCGGGTACCTTAGGCACTGTGCTATCAGAGCTCCCTCCACTCAAATTATTGTTTGTAATTACTGTTACTGCAAGATGATGTCCGTAATGGTATTTACCATTGTTGCCCTTGGCTCTTTTGTGCCTCCCAGCATCTGCCTTTACCTTGTGCTGACTTCCTCCTGTTGTGTACTGTGTCTCCCTTTGCCCAGTCAGTACATGTCTGCTGTCCAGTTAGTGATTTTCCCTCCCTCTACCCCTCATCCCTGGTCCATCGCAGATTGTTTGTTTCTGTGCATAAATCATTTCTTGACTTTTTTGTAATAGTGATCTCATACAATATCTGTCCTTTTGTTATTGACTTACTTCACTCAGCCTGATGTCTACCAGGTTCATCCATGCTGTGAGATGTTTTGTGAATTTGACATTATTTTTTAACATTGCCTAATACTCTGTTGTGTGTATGTACCATAGTTTATCTATTCATCCACTGATGGTCATTTAGATTGTTCCCGTCTTTTTGCTGTTGTGAATACTGTGCACATATCTATTCGTATCATGGCTCTTATTTCTCTAGGATATATACTTAGTCGTGGGATTGCTGGATCATGGTCTCTCTGTTTCTGACTTTTTTAAGGAAATGCCGTGTCGTTTTCCACAGTGGTTGTAATGTTTTACAATCCTACCAGCAGTGTATGAGAGTTCCAGTCTCCCCATACCCTCACCAGCATTTGTTGTTTTCTCTTTCTTTATCATTACTATTATTGCTGGCATGAGATGATATCTTGTTGTTTTGATTTACATCTCTCTAATGGCTAGTGATCACAAGCATCTTGTCATGTTTTGTTGGTCACCTGAATGTTGTCCTTGATGAAGTGTCTGTTCATGTCTTTTGCCCATTTTTTAATTCCATTGTTTGTCTTTTTGTTGTTGATGTATTGAAGTTTTCTATATATTTTAGAGATTAGTTTCTTGTCAGGTATGTTATTGCCAAAAATCTTTTCCTAATCTATAGATTCTCTTTTTACTATTTTGAGAAATATTTGATGTACATAAATGTTTAGTTTTTAGGAGGTCCCAGACATCTAGTTTATCTTCTGTTGTTTGTAAATTTTCAGTTGTGTTTAATAGACTATTTATGACATAAATTAGGGCCCCAAAGTTTGCCCGTTTTTCCTTCCATGATATTTATAGCTATAGGTTTTCCATTTAGGTCTTTGATCTGTCTTGAGTTAATTTTGTGTATAGTGTGAGCTCTGGTGGCATAGTGCCTAAGGTATTTGACTGCTAACCAGAAGGCTGGTGGTTCAAACCCACCAGCTGCTCCTGGGAAGGAAGACTGGGCAATCTACTTCTGTGGTGATACTGCCTTGGAAACGCAAGGAGGAGTTGCTATGAGTCAGATCCAACTCGATGGCAGTGTGTTCATTTCATTATGGTGTGAGGTGTAGATCCTGTTTTCATTTTTCTGCAAATGGATATCCAGTTTTGCCAGCACTGTGTGTTAAAGAGACTGTCTCTTCCTTATTTAATGGATTTCATCTGTTTGACAAAGATCAGCTGTCCATAGATGGATATAGATTTACTTCTGGGTCCTCAGTTCTGTTCCATTGGTCTGTGTGTCTGTCGTTGTACAGATACTGGCTGTTTTGACTACTGTGCCTGTATAGTAGATTCTGACGTTGGCAGGTGTGAGGCCTCGTATCTACTTTCCATATAAAGTCTCTTTCCATATAAAGTTGGTCCTTTCCCATCTCTGTAAAGAATGTTGATGGAATCTGGATCAGGATTACAATATATCTATCTATCACTTTAGGTAGTACTGACATTTTCACAAAGTCTCCCTGTCCATGAGCATGATATGTTTGTCCATTTATTTAAGTCTCTTGGTTTCTTGCAGTCATGTTTTGTAGTTTTCTTTGTGTCAGTCTTTTACTTCCCCAGTTAGGTTTATTCCCAAGTATTTCATCTTTTTTGCTGGCTGGTGTAAATGGAATTGTTTTTCTGATTCCCTTTTCAGAGTTCTCTTTGTTAGTGTAGAGGAATCCAACTTATTTTTGTATGTTGATCTTATTACCCTGCCACTTTGCTGAAGCCCTTTGTTAATTCCAGTAGCTTTCTTGTAGAATCTCTGGGATTTTCTACGTATAGGATCATATCATCTAAAAATAGGAATAGTTTAAATAAGATATCTTCTCTGTCTACCATGACTTTCTTTGAGGCTTACTGTAAGAAAGTTTGGTACTTCTGTGCTAAACTTGACAGTCACCAAGTAACTCCTTTTATCAATGATGATTACAAATGTAGATCCAAAGTCATTTTAGGGGTGATCCCCTTGCTTTATGTATAATACTCACTTGAACTAAACTCTACAAATTTCTACTTAGTGAACTGGTGACATACTTTTAATGAGGTTTTGCGTTTCCATTTAGACTATAAGAGAGGCATGACTGCTTATGTGATGATGCCATGCAGTCCCCTAGAACTGCTTGTAGAGATAATAGTTCAGTGTGATTTGTTCATTTTAGATTCTGAAGGCCTTCTCAAAACCAAGGAAAAGAACCAGAAGCTTTACAGTCGAGCTCAACGGCATCAAGATAAAAAAGAGAAGATTCAGAGGCACAATCACAAACTTGGTGACCTGGTAGAGAAAAAAACCATTGACTTAAGGAGTCATTATGAGCGTCTGGCAAATCTTCGGCGATCTCACATATTAGAGCTCACCTCTGTCATTTTTCCAATTGAGGAAGTAAAGACTGGTGTGAGGTACAGTAAGCAAACCTTTTTGCTCAGAATAGGTCATATTCTGAGTGGTATATTTTCCTGGTAATAAAATTGAAATCTTAAGCAAACAGCATGCACTGTACAAAGTTGGAGTGTAGCTGCAGTGAGGGGCGGGGGTTCTCAGAGAGCTGGCGCTCAGGCATGTGCCCTCTCAGCTTCCAGGGAGGGGCTGACACACACATTCCTGCGTCACAACTGTTTGATGACAGTGTGGGTTGGAGTCATAGTTGGGCATTTATTGGCTGTGTGGTATAAGGCAGGTTGCTGAACCTCCGAGTCTTATTTTCTTGTTAAATGGGGATAATAAATGCCTATCTCAGGGTAATTATGAGCTAATATGTAAGAAACCCTGGAGATCTCTCATATGGTAGGCCCTGCATGTTGACTTAATCTTTTCCTGATAATTATCCTTATTGGAGTCCTTAGGTGGTACAATTAACATGATTACGCTACCAAAGGTTACCATTTCAGTTTCACCCAAAGGTGCCTCAGACGAAAGACCTGGCAATCTACAGAAAAATCAGCCATTGAAAACCCTATGGAACATAGTTCTATTCTGACACACATAGATCACCATAAGTCAGAATCAACATGGCACTGACTGGCTTTTGTTGTTGTTGTTGTTGTTTAAAATCCTTTATTGTATTAGCTGTTTTCAAGCACTGACTACCGTGATGTTATCCTTAGGCTATAGTGCATTGGTAACCTCAGGAGTCATTGAGATAGAGAGTCAGTGGTTCCACCACCTGGCTGATGAACCTTTGACAAATGTAGATTGCAGAGGGCAACTTCCCACCTCCTGGGTCCATGTTAAAATTTTGTATTTTTAAACTCCTCCAGCTGTTTGTGATCATCAGCCAGGTTTGGAAACCACCACTGAAGGGTTTAGCTGCTTTCTCAGTCACCTCCAGGCTGGTCTCCTTGGGGATTTTCCTGTGTCTTCCCACACTGCTCTCACTTCTGGCACCTTTCACCAGAATCTGACAGTCACTGGACTATTGTTAGTTTTGTAACTATTCTTTCCTGCCTCCACTTCAGTCTGTCCTTTGGTCTGCTGCCAGATTTAGCTTCTTAAAAACCTAAAAGAGTCTGAGTGTTGCTTCCAACATGAAAACCTGCTCTCTGACCCTTTCCAAGTAATTTGTCATTACTAATAATTGCCAGACTGGGGGGAGAAAGGAGGGAGAGTCAAAATAAAGCAGAACAGAAAATGACCCCATGGGAACTTAGTATGATAAAGATGGCATTTTAGATCAGTGAGGAAAAGCTAGATTTATCCAAAAAATGGTGTTAAGACAGATGGGGGAAAAAGCCAGCCAAAAAAAGACTGTACGCCAAATTAAATTCTGATGAGTCAAAGATTCAAATGTCACAGTGCATTGCGGTAGACAGAGACTGAGGCAGAGTTCCAGGTGAAAGGAAATGAAGATGAGCCCAATGCTAAATAAGTGCAGTCTGTGCTCCTGCGTTGGATCCTGGCCCACCAAGGACATTAGCAGAACAATGGGAAACATTTGAGTAAGGTCTGTAGATTAGTTCATCGTACTGTAGTGGTGTCAGTTAGCTAATTTTGATCATTGTATTTTCCTGAATCGATAATTTGGGTAACTTGGGTAAAGCGTATACAGGAAAACTTTGTATTCTTCTTGCAACTTTTTGGAAAGTTAAGTTATTTTTTAAATGGAGATTTTAAAAGAAAACTAATAGATATAGTGAACATACTAGAAAGACAGACATGGAGAAAAAGTTTCTCCTCCATGCCTTGATTTAATCTTAATTGCATGCCATTACTTTTCTTTTTTTAAATAGCAGTTATTTTTGAAGATTTTCTTAAAATAAGATTTTTGTTCGTTTGCATTTCTCTAAATTTCCCTTGAGTAGAAGGCAGACAGTGGTACAGCTGCCTGGTAGCATTGGCTGTAATACCCCTGCCTCTGGCTTTTCTGAGATGACTACTATTATCCCACATGCATGTTGTGGCAGAACGAAGAAAAGATTGAGAACCACTGGCCAAGAAGACAGAATCTGAACTTAGTGCAGTACAGAAGGCCCACCCAGTCTGCTCACTTCCGGCCTACTTTCTAGCACCGTCTCCTGGCTCTTCCCTTGTGCATCCTACATGCCAACCACAGTAAACATGTGTTCCCCGAACACACTGTGTTCCAGCCCCTCCATGCAGCTATATCTGCTCTCACTTCTATGGGAATTCCTTTTCCACCCTGTAGGCCATTCGCTCTCAAAGTGTGCTTGGTCCGGGAACCCCAAAACCCTCTTGGGGTCTGTGAAGTCAAACTGTTTTTAAAATAATTGTTGTTAGGTGCTATGAAGTTGACTCCAACTTGTTGGAACCCCATGTAACAGAGCAGAACTCTGTAAATAAAGTTTTCTTGGCTGTAATCCTTATGGAAGTAGATTGCTGAGACTTTCTCCTGTGGAGCAGAGCTGCTGGGTGGGTTTGAACCCCCAGCCTTTTGGTTAGCAGCTGAGCATGTAACCATTTATACTGCTAGGGCACCTTTTTTTGTTGTTGACATTTGCACTGGTGGCTCAGCAGCCATGGTGTAGGTGACCTCTGACTGGCTTTGGCACAAATCAAGGCTGTGGTTGTAGTAGTCATTGTACCTGTACCACCACACACTTAGAGTTTAAACAATCGTCTCACTTAAGTGGTCTTTGATAAAGCAGCAAAAATTACGAATTTTCTTAAATCTTGATCCTCGATCTTTTTAAAGCACTGTGCCATGAGATGGGAAGGATCAGGAAACTCTTCTGCAGACTGAAGTACATGGTTGGCTTTGGAAAAGTACTTCAGCAGTTGATTTGTAGGCTGAGGTCACTGCTTTGTTCACTGCAGGCTTGGGTAGAGATTTGCAAAAATGTAAAACTAATGCTGTTTTTCACCATTTTTTTTGTTTGTAAAACTATAGTTATTTTTCATAAAAATGTGCTATATTAACATGCTGTGTGCCATCGAGTTGGACTCGACTCATAGCGGCCCCTTCTTGGGTTTCCAAGGTGGTATCACTATGGAAGTAGATTGCCCAACCTTCCTTCCGAGGAGTGGCTGGTGGGTTTGAACCGCCAGCCTTCTGGTTAGCAGTCAAATGCCTTAGGCACTATGCTACCAGAGCTCCTTATGTTAACATAAAATAGATTTATTATTTTTGAATGAATTAATCTTTTTTAACTTTTTCAGGTTTGATTTTTAATATAGCACGTCTCATATATAAGCAGAAGCTTTTTGGTCCTCAGAAAATGTTATGTATGTAAGGGGTCGTGAGATCAGGTGGTTTGAGAACTAATAGCTTGGGCCCTCGCTCAGTGTGCCATCTTTCTGACACTTTGTGGTCTTCTCTGCCATCTTTATCTCTGTGCTCCAGTTAGTTGCTGTGCTCATGTGTAACCTCAGCACATACCTGGCAAGTATACTGCATGCCCTTTAAAACCCAGGCTCTTGAAATCTGTATGTGTCTTCTGATTTCTAGAGATCCTGCGGATGTGTCTTCAGAGAGTGACAGTGCCATGACCTCCAGCACTGTGAGTAAGCTGGCTGAAGCTCGCAGGACAACCTACCTCTCCGGGAGATGGGTCTGTGACGATCACAACGGAGATACCAGCATTAGCATTACGGGGCCTTGGATTAGCCTCCCTAACAATGGGGACTACTCTGCCTATTATAATTGGGTGGAAGAGAAGAAAACAACACAGGGGCCTGGTGAGAAGCACAACATTCTTTGAAAATATATAATTTTTTTTAAAATTTTCATTTTGATTTGAGTGAAAAGTTTCTAGAGAAAATTCATGTTTCATACAGCAGTTCATACTCATTTTGTTACATGACATTGACTGCAGTTCCCCACAGTGTAACATCTCTCTTCCTACTTCCTTCCTGTAGTTAGCTCTCCCGTGTCCCTCCCTCCCTCGCACTCCTGCCCCCCCCCCCCAGCTGCCTCCCTGTGCATATACTGCCATTCTGTTCCCCCATGATTGATCATTCTAAGGATGGAGATTTATACCATCTACCTGGTATAAATGTTCACCCTGCATGCCTGTCTGTTGTTTGGATGGAAGTCATGTTTTGGTTTTTTTTTTTTTTCATCAAGGTAAAATTTACATAGCGTAAAAATAACTAGCAGTGACATTTAGTGCATTCACAATGTTATGCAACCATCACCTTTCTCTCATTCCTAAATTTTTTCGCCATTCCACAGGAAACCCTGTTCCCATGAAGTAATCATTCCCCATGTACACCTCCCCTGGTCCCCTAACATCCACTAATCTATTTTGTGTCTGTCTGGATTTAGCTGTCCTGGACATTTCATATAAATGGAATCATACAATATGTAGTCTTTTGTGACTGACTTCTTTCACTTATCATAATGTCTTCAAGGTTCACCTATGTTTTTATCCATAGCATGAAACAGAACTTCATTCTTTTTTGTGGCTGCATAATATTTCATTGTATGGCTATCTCACATTTTATTTATCTCTTTATTAGTTGATGGACCAAAAATATGCCTTTTTAATATTTTGCCTTTGGAGAGTCATTTCTATTTTACTATAAGAAGACTATTTAAAGAAATGTAGTTAGCCTATTGAGTCTCGGTTTTCATATATATAACTTTATAAAGAATTTATTTTAGCAATTTTAAATGGAAATTGAAATCACCCAATAGCAAAACCCTTAAAACTCTTGCCATTTCCCTTTGATGGAGAAGGAATTTATGTAGTCATTCAGGGCATATGTAGTGAGCATGTGCTCTGTGTCACGTGCAGTGCCCAGCACTGGTGATACAGAAGTGACCGAGATGGGCATGGCCTTTAGCCCTCCTGTGAGGAGAAGGGCAGACAGCATGCATAGGATCAGAGGGCCCACCCTCTGGGTGAGTGCCATGGGAGGAGTCAGCAGCTTCATGACGGGTGGGGGGCAAGCAGGGGTACAGAGGCGGCAATTGCTTTTCGTAAGGTAGTCAAGAGCCGCCTGCCTGAGGAGGTGACATTTACGTTGGGACCTGAAAGATGAAAATCAACTAGTTAAAGGAAGGACGTTTCATCCAAGGGACCAGCTTGTGCAAAGGCTTTGTGTTGGGAGTGTCTGAGGATCTGTCAGAAGCTCAGAAAGGGTTAGGAGTGTAGTGAGCAAGGCGGAGAGAGGAGTGAAAGGAGCTGGGAGAGGTGCACGGGGCCCTGATCATGCTGGACTATTGGAAGGGGTTGGATGTCATTCTGTGGTTATGGGAAGCCACTGGAAGGTTTTGTACAGTGGCACTGGTCTAGTTCTAGGTCTTGAGTTAAGAGCTCTGGTATCTTGCATATGTGTGGAATGAATTTTAAAAACATTCTCACATTGAGAATTCAGTTGTTATTAGAATTTATCGGTCATTAATTCATTGATCAGTTGATTCAGCAAATATTAACAGAGCACTAAATTTGTACCTGGAGCTCTGGTAGCATATGCCTAAGGCACTTGACTGCTAACCAGAAGACTGGCAGTTCAAACCCACCAGTCACTCCTTGGAAGGAAGATGGGGCAATCTACTTCCGTGGTGATACTGCCTCAGCAACCCAAGGAGGGGTCGCTATGAATCAGGTCTGACTCACTCAACAGCACATAACAACAACAACAACAAATTTGTACCTGGCATTGTTCTAGATGCTTGCAGTATATCAGTGAGAAAACAGACAAAATCCCTCTTATGTGGAGTTTACATTCTAGTGAGGAAATAGTAAACAATAAAAAAGAAGTAAATAAAATGTTAGAAGATGATAAAATATTACAGAGAAAAAGATACTCAGCCTGTAGGACCATTAGACCAGAAGAACTAGATGGTACCCAGCTACCACTGTCAACCACTCGGAAAGGGATCAATCAGTACAGGAGATCCTGGGGAGAGTGGGGGAACAATGTGGAACAAAGCTCAAAATCATAAAAAAGACCAGGTTTATGGGTCTGATAGAGCCTGGGGAGACAGAGCCCTGAGACTATGGCCCCTAGTTACCCCTCAGGTCTGCAATTGAACTCACTCCCGTGGCTTCCAGCCAAGCAATAGACAGGCATATATCATACAGGGTGAACATTTACACCAGCTAGATACACTCCTTAGGATGATCAATCATGGGAGAATAAAAGGGCTGTATTTGTACAGGGAGACAGCTTAGGGAGGCAGGAATACAGAGGAAAGGATGGCACAGAAAGAGGTAACTATAGGGAGGAAGTAGGAAGAGAGCTGTTAAATTGTGGGGAATTGCAGTCAGTGTCATGAAACAAAATGTGTATGAAAATGTATATAGAAAATGAATTTGCTCTGTAAACCTTCACCCAAATCACAATAAATTTTTGTTTAAAAAAAATGCTGTAGAGAAAAAATAAATGGGAATGGGGGTTTGGGCGAGGGGGAAGAGTGGTGGTGATTGCAAGCAATTAATACGGTGGTTGAGGAAGGCCTCATTCAGAGTCTTAAGCCGAGGCTCCAGGAGATGCAGTATATGGCTGTACTTACTGTTTGTTCTGAAGGCTACCAGCTGTTCTTGAGTGCGTGCTTTAGCTTCAAGAATCAGTATACTTCAAACGGGTAGTTAGTTACGAGGGGTTCTTAGAGGGTTCAGTAGAGGAACTTCTTTAAAGCATTTATCCCAGGTCTCGGCCCAGGGTGAAATCCTGATGATGGCAGCTGTTTAACGATTATTAACTCTCCTCCAGTGTCCCCAGGACTCGCCGAGAAGCTAGATAAAAAATAGAAATGCCTTCATTTGGAACTGACTGGATTTTAAACTAGATTTCAGGGAATATCATTCCAAGAATAAACTCCTAGAAATTAGTTGTTCTGATAACACATTAAGCTACTTCTTCAGGTCCAAGCAGATCAACAGTTCAAGCTTTAATTTTGTATATGCTGAGTCTGTTTAGGCTCATTTGTATATGTGACATCCAACTCAGCGAAAAACCTAAACAATTTATAACTGATGATAGAGATTTTATGAGTAAGGAATAAATTTAGCCATCAATAATGTAAATAACGATATAAATTGTAAAGCTAGGTTCATTAATACTTGGAGTTTTTTTTTTATTTAAAGTTGATGGTTTATGGCTGTGCATAATTATGTTTTCGTACTTCAGACATGGAGCATAATAACCCCGCGCACACCATCAGTGCTGCTTTGTGCTATGCGACTCAGCTGGTCAACATTTTGTCTCATATCCTTGATGTGAATCTTCCCAAGAAACTGTGCAACAGGCAAGTAATTGAATGTGGTGATGTCATCTTTATCATGAATCTCTTAAGTTTTTCTGTGTTCTTATTTACTGTAATTAAACCAGAAATAAGAATCTAAGTATTATCAAGACAGAAAAAGTTAGGCTTTGAAATTATTGAGATTAATTTCCTAAGCTTCATGTGCAAATGTGTTGTATTACTTTACATTTGCATGTGAAGACCACAGTGTCCCCCAACTAGGAAACAGTAACAGAAGGAGAAACCAGTATATTCAGAGGGTGTATTGCAGATCCTTGTGTGTACCCAAAACTCCACTGCCATCAAGTTGATTCTGACTCGTAGTGACCCTAGATAGAGTAGAACTGCTCCATAGGGTTTCCAAGGCTGTCAATAAAAAGCAGCTGGTGGGTTTGAACGCCAACCTGTTGGGTGGCAGCTGAATGAATGCTTTAACCACTGTGCCACCAGAGCTCCTTCCTCATGTGTAAGAACTGGGTAAATTCCAGTTTATTTACTTTTTAGTAAAAATCTCGTGGTTTGAAATTGAAAAATATAAAGGTCTCGTCAGTTCCCACCAAGACCTCCCTTCTTCCCCTCATTATCCTGCATTTCAAACAAATATAAATATATGCTATTACCATCCCCCCTTTTTTTAAACACAAAAGGTAGCATACTATACTAAAGTATTTCATACCTTGTTTATTTATTTAAGGAAATGGCTACTGAGCAGTTGCTGTGTGCCAGGCTCTATTGTGGGCATTAGGGGTACAAAGGTGAGCACGGCAGTCCCTGCTCTTTTGGAGATTACATACATTTTCATGGAGGACACCCATCATAAACAGATCAATAGGTACTACGGGAGATGGTGATATGTGCTACAGAGAACCTTAAAGAGCAGGAGGCAGGGGAGGCCTTGCTGCTGTGTTAGAGCGGGCAAGTAAGTTGCTCAGGGAGAAAGGGAGCAAGCCAGGCAGAACCCTGGGAAGGAGACTGTGGGCCAAGGAAACAGCAAGCGCAAAGCCCTGGGGAAGAGTGAGTGGTTACAAGGTCAGAGGAAGGCAAATTATGTGGAGACTTGAAGGACCACTGCAAGCCTTTGCCTGTCGTTGTGCGTAAGGTGGACAATTACAGAGTTTTCCTTTATGTAAATCTACCAAGATCTGACTAGTCCCCTATTGATAGGTGAAGGAATCATTTTAAACATTCATCTTTTCATTATTGTGCAAATACTTATGTAGAATGAGTTCCCAGAAGTGAAACTGCTTGGTAAAAGGGTATGTGCATTTGTAATCTGCATAAATGCAGTAAAATTGCTCTGAGAACAGCAGCTCATTCAGGAAGCTTCTGCGTTTGCAGTTTACTAAGAGGCAGAGGACACGCAGAGGATGCTTTGTTCTGAACTGTGGTGGAAAGCATCCTCTCTTCAGAATGAACGCTGTTACGGAAACTGCCCTCCAAAAAGTACAACTTGACAAACTGTGTGTTTGTTTTACAGTGAATTTTGTGGGGAGAATCTCAGCAGACAGAAATTCACTCGAGCAGTGAAGAAACTGAATGCAAATATCCTTTACCTTTGCTTCTCTCAGGTATGGAAATGTGCTGTGAACGAAGTTTCCATTTGTTACGTAGTTGAAAATATTAATCAATTCTTTGTTTTTTAGCATGTAAATTTAGATCAGTTACAGCCACTGCACACCCTCAGGAACCTCATGTACCTGGTCAGTCCGAACTCTGAACACCTGGGCAGGTAAGGAGGCGTCCATGGCTTTTCTGTCAGTGCTGTGTATACTTTTAACTATAGTTGAACTTGTTGGCAGAGTTCAAGGCCCAGTTCCCTAACCCCAAACTCCAAAAATGGCAGAAATAATACAGTCCCGTCCAGAAGGAAAAATGGGTAATCATATGTGAACTTTTGTGTTCCTTACATAGTCATTTCTCAGAGAAGATATAAAATATATTTAACAGTTAAAATGCACTAAAGTAAACTTTTACCCAGACCACAACAAACGCAAGGGGGAAAGGGAGCGTTCCCAAAAAACAGTAGAAGAACTCAGATGTTCTTGGGAGAGGGTGTTGGTAAAAATGGTATGGTGGGAGGCATCTGGCCTCCTCTAACCACACGGGGGTGAGGAGGATCAAGCTCAGCAGCCCAAGGCTGATTCCTCTGGGGCGGAAGTCAGACATCCCTCTGCCCTTGACCCTTTTTACCAATCCTGATTCTAGCCGTCCCTCCCATGCCACTCTATTACTCTGCTGGGTTCGATAATTTGTTGCAGTAGCCACACAAAACTCACAGACAATAGTCATACTTTATTAAGTTTATTAAGGAAGTAACAGGTTATAATTCAGGTTCACAAATGACTTGGGATGCAGTTCTTCAGTGAGCACAGCCTGTGCCCTGCTCAGGCAAATGATAGTTCTGCCGGTGATAAGTGCTCAGAGGAATAGGGTGCCTACTCCAGCGGCAAGCTTCCTGCCCAAAGGCACTCAGCTTTCTCTCTCTGCCAGAAAGGCCCACCGCTCTGTCTCATGCCGGTCTCTTGGTTCTCTTGTTCCTGGTGCTGCTGTTTCTTTGCTACTTCTTGCCTTCTCACACGGTCACCAGGGTGATAGCTGTCCACCTCCTGGATCAAGGACATTCAGTGTAGGGAACTCAGGTCCCAAGGATGCAGTCTACTCCTGGCTCTTCTTTCTTGATGGTAGTGAGAGCCTCACCCCCTTCCTGCTTCTGTGATGCCTCATTTTAAGCCTAGAGAGATGGCAACACTGACCAATCTCCACGTTAGGATTGCATGCACCTTATTTGCATGGTCCCACCCCCAAAAGGGTATCATGCACCTTACTCACATTACTAACAAGTTACCCAGTCCCCTGGGTAGGCCATGAGTACCTCATGTTTGCATAGTCCCACCCAGTCATGTGGTGGAATCACAAAGACCGGGGCTAGAAGGGCCGATCCAAGCAGTTCCCTGCACTGCAGCATTCTTAAACTGTCCCTGTAGACCAAAGGCTATTTCTCTGAGTCCCCATCTGTTTCTTCTCTAGTCCTGCCTAGTGTCTGCCCTCACTGTGTTCATGTGTGCTTTCTTTTGTGCCTGCTCATTCCCTGGCCATCCTGACATTTTTTCACCAGTTTTCTTCTCACCACTGAGTCATTCTGGCCATTTGTGGGGATAAAAAGAATAGTAGAAGTTTGTAAGATGAATTGGTTTGAAATCCTTTGGATTAAAAACAGGAGTAACAAAACAGACCAACTAAGGCTGGGTGTGTGGGATCTTTTCAGTCTCTCCATCATAAAAGCATGAAGCAGACGAGGTTTATCTTCAAAACCAGCCGAGCATTGCTCCTGGGTGTTCATCTTTCTTCCTTTGCTCTTAGTCTGCTGGTACATTCCCATAGAGATTGCACTTGGGTCGCATATTTGTACTTTGGAAAGAGAAGTGAAGATTAAAAGATGGGAAAGTTCTTTGGGGATTGCCTTTCCCATCATCCATGTGCTCTGACACTGAAATCCAAGGCTAGAGGGGAGCTCACTGTGCGAGTCCCCACAAGTGTGCCTGGCTTCCTCCACACCGCAGTTCACGGGAGGCGTTAATCTGCCCTTGCCACTGTCTTTTGCTTTATTCTCTCCCTTAAAAAGTACACTTTTCTAGAACACAGACCCCTTTGAAAAACACCATGATTCTCTCAAGAACCTGCACGCATACCCACAATTCTGTGCTGCTTTGTAAGGAGTTCATGGCCTCCTCCCAAGCCCACTTGTGTTCACGAGCTGCAGCAACCTGAACGTCATCAGAGCCACCCCAGCTGACGTCTGTGGATTGCTTCCATCCTCCCTGTACTTTACCTGTAAAGGGTTCCACATTAGGAAATTGATGATGATAAATATGTGATGTTAACACTGTTAATAATTTTCATAATGACAAAAATAGCTTGTAATAATAGTAGTTGATATATATCGACCTTAATTTTTATTGACACTGAGTCAACTACTTTACAAGCATTATTTCATAGGTATATTTGCTGGAGGTATTTGATGGAGGAAACTGAGGCTTAGTATGATTAAGTAACTCGGGCCAAGAGTAACGGAGCCAGTAAAAGTAGTGGAGCCAGGGTCCCAACACATGCCTGGGTGACTCCAAAATAGCGGATTCTCTTACCCATGCTTTTAACCAGTGCATGTTAATTCATTACATTAACAGATAAACTGTTAGTGAGTTAGAAATAGATCCTCAGTAAAGGATATCTCCCATAAACCTAGAGCACAAACTATGCTTGATGGTACATCACTTACATAGATATTTCATAGAAGCATCCCCCTAAAATAAAGAAAAAACAAGGATACCTACTACCACCACTGCCATGTCAACACTGTTCAAGAGACCTAGCCAAGGCAAGACATTTTACAAAAAGAAATAAGGTGTACTTCTATTGGAAAGAAACAAAGTTGACATTATTTATAGGTAGTATGATTAACTGAATTTGATATCCAAGAGAACTAAGACACTATTGAGAAATGATAGTTGAGTTAGGATGACAAGGTCAGCATACAAAAAGGAGTTACTTTCTTACATGCTGTCAACAACCAGTCAGAAAAGGTAATGGAAGGAAGAGCTCTTTTCCTGTAGCAATGAAAACTATAAATTATGTAAGAATGATCCTAACAAGATAGAAGTGCAAAACCCATATGAAGAAAATTACAAGACTACTTTTTTTTTTTTAAATTCAGGACGTATTTCTGGAATACCAGAGGCATTATACAAGGGGTGGGATTTCTAAAGTTCAACTAGAAGCACAGTGTGCACAGGACATTTGGAGAAAGAAGAACGAGGGGAGATGGGTTTGGCCCCTCTCAGAATTAAAAAGAGTACTACTAGAACACAAATAGATGAAACAATTCGAAGGCCAGACAGTGCAGACACAGGGCTTTTATGTGTGAGAGTATAACGCATGATAGGGGAGTGTGAGAGTATAACGCGTGATAGTGGGGTGTGAGAGTATAACGCGTGATAGGGGGGTGTGAGAGTATAACGCGTGATAGGGGGATGTGAGAGTATAACGCGTGATAGGGGGTGTGAGAGTATAACGCGTGATGGGGTGTGAGAGTATAACGCGTGATGGGGTGTGAGAGTATAACGCGTGATAGGGGGTGTGAGAGTATAACGCGTGATAGGGGGGTGTGAGAGTATAACGCGTGATAGGGGGGTGTGAGAGTATAA